GCCCTGGCTGGTTTGGCTCAGCGGTTAGAGCATCGGCCTGCGGTCCAGAGAGACCCAGGTTCAGTTCCCACTAAGGGCACGTACCTGAGTTGCAGTTTGTCCCTGGCCCTGGTTGGTCATGTGGGTGGCAGCTACTCGACGTGTCCCTTTCACGTCGATGTTTCTCTCTCTCTCCCTCCCACTCTATCTGTACAAAAAATGGAAAAATGTCCTCGGGTGAGGATTAAAAAAAAAAAAACAATCTAAAAGAGGTCTTTTTTTAATCTATTCTGACAGACTCATCTTTTAATTAATATATTTACACCATTAGCATTTAATATCTATCCTATTCATTACTGTTTTCTATTTCTTGCTCTTGTTTTTTGCTTTTTTCCTTTCCCTCTTTCTCTGCCTTAATTGAGCATTTTATATTATTTTATTTTCTCTTCTGTCTTAGCATATCAATTATACTTCTTTTCCTAACCTTGTTAAGTGGTTGCCTAGAGTTTACAATATACATTTTCAACTGATTCAAATCTGCTTTCAAACAACACCTCACTGCCTCACTGGTAGCAGTACCTTGTAAATTCCCCTAATGCCTCCCTCTGTCCCTTACAACACTGCACCAATCCTATCACTTTTCTGTAAACTATACTCACTGAACAATTGTTACTATTTTTATTTTGAACAAACTCTTATCTATTACATTAAGAAAATAAAAATGAAGATGTATTTTACCTTCATTTATTTCTTCTCTAATAACCTTCCTTGCTTTATGGAGATCTGAATTTCTGATCTATATATTTTTTCTTCTTTCTGAAGAACTTCTTTTAACATTTCTTGTAAGGCCGATCTCCTTAATTTTTGTTTAAGAAAATCTTTACTCCGCCTTAACATTTTAAAAAACTTGGTAACTTAGGATTTACTTTTATAAAAGTGTGGCGGCAAATATTAAAGTGCTATACTTGCAATTTCAATATCACAACATAAACAAAATATCCAATGTTAAATGCTTGACTCTAAGTTTTGTATATTTTGTATTTTATAGAAAGGCATTTTCAGAGCTTTGTCAATATTAAACCATCTACTATTTATTTCTCACCCAAATCTTCATTAAATCTAACAGGCTGGGATTAAAAGTACTTGTGTTTTCTTGAATATTCTAAAATGTGCCAGTTTACATTACCCTTCGAATTTTCAAGGCATTAGAGATAAACAAGCAGAGCACCCAAAAATATTTTTTAAAATCTACAGTTATTATAGGAATAAGTGTATTATAGTTATTATAGCAATTCTTTTGACTTTCGGATTAGGGGAAAAAAATCCTAAACAAACATAAGAGATATGATTACTTTTGAGATATGATTACATAAGAGATAAGTTACTTTTTAGTAAAAATAATATGTCACACCAATACATTTTTGAACTGAATTCTTAAAAGCATTAAAAAACACTCATGTCTTCTAATTGCCAAACAATATTTCTGTGGTGGAAGAAAAAAAAGTATTAAATTATTCTAATTCCTAAAAGAAAACATGTTCAAATTAGAAAATTATCATCGTTTAGAAAATATGCCCTACTTTTATGTCAAATACTTTCAATACTTGACATATAATTTGATATCTAAAAATACCTAAATTATTTGTCAACATTTGTAGAGTGTTACTTCTCTGGATAGACAGGTTTCACACCAAAATTTTCAATCAATGCTGAAAAAATTATGTGATAGTTATAACAACAATTAATGATTAACTTATTAACGGATTACCAATTTATTCAGAAATTCATGTGGCATAAGGACCAATGAAGGGACTAATCTGATAATTTCTTACTTTGCAATTAATATTCCACTTAGTGTCTTTACATGTTTCCATGGATGTAATTTGATTAGCAGAATATTTCATGCTTCCTCCTTTTTCTCCCCACCTTATTTTTGTTTTAATTTTAGAGGAACCCAATGGTTTAGGGGATTGGTTAGAACAAGACAGAGAACATAAAGGGAAAATTCTAAAATGACAAATGACACTGAAGACTAAATCCAGTACTCATTTCATTGTGGTCTCAACTAAGGATATTAATTTTTGCGTTATTCACTTTTCTTTAGAATATAAATCGAAGCCATAATCTTGAACCTAAGGTATATATACAATACATGCACACCTTACACAAAATAACTTTTTAAAAGTCATATTACATTTAAAATTTTAGGAACCAAATGCCAGTGTTGATTTGTATTTTGACTTCATGAAAAAAGAAGGGAATAATATCCAACGAGGGAAACTTGCACTCATCATAATAAGCTCTTAAAGTTAAAAATGCGTCCCTTTCCCTTTGTACTTACCACAGGCTACACAGTGTCCTGAGGGTTTTCATCGCGAGACAAACTGTCAGTCAGAGCTTTGAGATCTTGCTTCGGAAAGAACTCATGAGAAAACAAATTGGAAGGTGAGGCTTCACTTTTGTTTTTAAATAAGTGGTCTCAGTTTCTCTTGTAGAAGTTTAAATCAGTTCTAAATCTATCTAAACCATTCATTTCTGCAGCTTTCAGGTAAAGTCCAACACTTCAGTTATGCAATCTAAGAGAGAAATCAATGGAGATAATCTGATCTTAAACGTGACATCATGCACTTACGTCCATGGCCCAGCCTCTCGCCTGCAGTACTGTTTTAATGCTGTACTATTAAAAAAAAAAAAAATTACAAAGGGAAGGAGGGAGAAAACTAACATAAATCTTCATTGATATAGAAATGGGTAAATAAATTGTGGTGTAACAACAGAACTACCATATGAGCTGGCAATTCCATTTTGAGGCATTTATTTGAAGTAAATGAAAACACTAACTTGAAAAGACACATGCACCCCCCCCCCCCTCCTCATGTTCTTTGCAGCATTATTTACAATAACTAAGATATGGAAGCAACCTGGATGTCCACTGATGGATGAATGAATAACGAAACTATGGTCACACACACACACACAATGGAACATCATTCTGCCATCAAAAAGAAGGAAATCATGCTGTGGCCAGTTTGGCTCAGCGATTAGAGCGTTGGCCGGTGGACCAATGAGCCCCGGGTTCACTTCTGGCCAAGGGCACGTACCTCGATTGCGATTCCTCCCCGGCCCTAGTTGGGGTTGTGCAGGAGGCAGCCACTCGATGCGTCCCTTTCATATCGATGTTTCTCTCTCTCTCCTTCCCACTCTATCTGAACAAAAATGGGAAAATGTCCTCGGGTGAGGATTAAAAAAAAAGAATGAAATCTTGCCATTTGTGACAACATGGGTGTACCCCAAGGACATTATGCTAAGTGAAATAAATGGAACAGAGAAAGACATATAACATGATCTCACTTATATTATGTGGAATCTTTACAAATAAAAAAACCAGCCCTGGCCAGCCTCGTTCAGCGGTTAGAGCGTCGGCCCGCGGACCAGAGAGACCTAAGTTCAGTTCCCTCTAGGGGCACGAACCTCAGTTTCAGTTTGTCCCCAGCCCTGTTGGGTTCGTGTGGGTGGCAACCACTAGATGTGTCTCTCTTGCATGGATGTTTCTCTCTCTCTCTCTTCCTCCCTCTCTCCCTCCCGCTTCTATCTGAAGATAAATGCAAAAATGTTCTTGGGTGAGAAATAAATAAATAAATAACCAATCTCATGGATACAATGAATAGATTGGTGGTTCCCAGAGGTATGGGGTGGAAGATTGACAAAATGAGTGAGGTGAGATCCAAACTTGCAGTTATAAAATACCTAGGTCCTAGGGGTGTAACATAGCACCATGACTATAGTTAATAATGTTGTATTGCATATTTGGAAGTTGCTAAGAGAGTAGATCTTAAACGTTTGCATCACAAGAAAAACTTTTGTACTATATATGGTGACAGATACTAACTAGAGCTATTGTGGTGATCATTTCCCAAATGTATACACATATCAAATCATTATGTTGTACATCTGAAACTAATATAAGGTTATATGTCAATTATACCTTAATTGAAAAGCCTACATAGCTGTGATGGGACTGTTGTCTGTGATTGTCTGTGTCCACTGGGTATGCATATATGCCTATAAGTGGTTTGGTTTATCTCTCTCCCTTCCTCTCTCTCTAAATAATCAATAAAAACATAAAAAGACAAGTTATACAAATATCCCCAACACTGCATGGATGCATACCAACTGCAGTAAACAGGAAGATGTAGACTGTAGGGATAGAAGCAAAGTTCTCACTAGTATCTCCCTCTGGACTTTGGAAAGATATCTCCTTTGTTTGTTTCTAAGACATTTTTATTATTTTATTATTGCTAATCATTTTTTATTTTTTAATTACAGTTGACGCACATTATTATATTAGTTTCAGGTGTACACACCAGCTGGGAGCTTTGATGTAACATTTTAATTTTCCAAACAGTTACAAATACAGAACCCGGTTTAGATGTTTTGCAAACCAGTGGATTCATTTATTCTCCACGTATTTGACACTTCACCTCTCTGACTGTTTCCTCAATGCAAGATGGGACTAAGACGAGCCTCAGCCTAATTTTGTCAGAACGAAGCAATGTACGTAGAGGCAAGTGCTCTGCCTGGCATGTAGTAAGTGCCCAAGCAATGTCAGGTGCTTCTGTTGGCTTGACTGTTTACCAGGCACGGTTCAGATCCTGGAGCCTTGGGTGAGACTGTTATTAAAAAACACGGAGCTCCAAGGTCTGTGACGTTCTCCGAGATGCATTGAAACCATAAATGCAAGAGCCCCAACAGTCTCAGAGAGGGGCTTTCCAAGACCGCTGCGGGTTCCCCTGGAATCCAGCGCCGGGCGGCCCCCGGGGCCAGGCTGGCTGGGGGGCAGGATGAGGGGCAGGATGAGGGGCAGGATGAGGGGCAGGGTGAGGGGCGGAGAGGGCCGAAGGTCGGGGGAGGTTCCCCGGGAGCCGCAGGGGCGGGCGAGGAGCAGGGAGGAAGTTCGGGGGGGCGGGGCGGGCAGAGGGTGGGGCGGGCGGGGTGCTGGCAGTGCTGGGATTGCAGTGACAGACACAGGCGGGGACGTCGTCTGCTCTGACCGCCCGGAAGCCAGCGGACCTGGAGCGATGATCTCGGTGGGCGGCCTAGTGGCGGCCGTCTGGAGGGCGCTTCATCTCCGCTCTCTCCTGCTGGGTGCCATCGTCTTTCTGCTCCTTGCCAATTTCTTCAAAAAACGGCTCCCCAAGAACTACCCACCAGGGCCCCCGAGTGTGCCTTTCTTTGGGAACTTCTTCCAGCTGGGCCTTAAGGAGCCGCACCTGACGCTGCAGAAGGTAGGAGCTGGCTCAGGTGCTGGCGGGGTCCCGACCCTGAGCTGCAGGGCAGGCCCATCCTGGGGCCCGGGCGGGCGGAGAAGGGGTAGCTCTGTGGCTAATTCCAGTCCCCTGGGAAACTCCGCTCTGAGCCTCGGTTTCCTCCACAGGCATGATTCCACCTGCCCTTTCTAAGGGGCGAATTAGTGTCAACGGTTACCATTTCAGTGCATGTTACATTCTTCAACTCACTTAACTGTGTGTCTTGTTAAATATTATGGGAACATCCTATTATAATATGATCACCTTGTCCTCTGTCATATTGTTATCCTTGAAAGAGAAAAGTTGTACTTTAGGCTCTGGTGGGTGTGGCTCAGTTGGTTGAGCATGCCCCATGTTCCAAAAGATCAGGGTTCGATTCCCAGCAGGACACATGCCCTGGTGTCAGGCTAATCACAAGTAGGGGGTGTGCAGGAAGTAGCCCATCATGTTTCTCTCTCATCGATGTTTCTCTCTCTAAAATCAATAAAAACATTTTTTGTTTTAAAGTTGTACTTTACCACTTGGAGGTTCCATTTCTCATGTGTAAAATGATAATTCTACCTAAATCCTCACTGATTTTCAACTGACTTGCTCCCAGCACCACAATGACTGAGCCCCTCATGGTCAGCTTTCTCTCCCTGCAATCCCCTCTCAATAAAGTAATCATTTTTAAATATGTTGTTTATGACTTTTTTAGAAAGAGAAGAAAGGAGAGAGATAGAAACATCAATGGGAGAGAAAAACATCCATCAGCTGCCTCCTGCACACCCCCTACTGAGGATCAAGCCTGAAACCTGGGCATGTGCCCTGACCGGAAATGGAACCAGGACCGGAACCAGGACTGGAACTAGGACTGGACCAGGACCGGAACCAGGACCGGAACCGGAACTGGGACCTCCCAGTCCATGGGAGGATGCTCAATCCACTGAGCCACACTGGCTAAGCTAAAGTAATCATTTTTAAAATGTCATTCCTCACCTTTAATTTTATTAGCCCTTCCAGATGCTGTCTCCTTAGCAGGTTAAGACTCCTTAGGGAGCCACTTGGAACTCAGGACTTCTTTCATTTCCTTATAATAATCTTCTATCAGGGCTCTCTAACTGGGGCCACTCTGAATTCCTTAAAATTTTCTCCAATATCCAACACTTTCTCGAGATCCTCGACTGGTTTCCTGCCTCTCAGCACAAGTACCTCGTTGAGAGATGGCAGTGTCGTAGGTGGTTTGTGAAGATGAAATAAAACAATAAATGGTCAAAATCAACATGGCTCATAATAGATGTACTAAAAGATTAGTTCCCCTCTCCCTAGAAATTTCTGGAGTACTCTGAACATATGCCCATATATTCAAGTTTAGATGGAGAAGGGTTTACCACTTTCTGGGAGAATCACCCAGTTGTTAACACTAACAGGATTAGTCACAGAATGTTAAAGCCAGGCTCTTAAACATGTATACCTTAGTTTAAGAAATGTATTGTTTAATTTCAAAATATTGGGAAGTTTTCCTGTTTTCTTTTGGTTAATGATTTCCATTTTGATTCCATTATGGTCAGAGGATGTGCTTTGTGTAATTTCAATTAAAAAAAAAACAAAATATATATATATATATATATATATATATATATATATATATATATTAAGGTTGGCTTTATGACCCAAGGTACAGTCCACACATGCTTGAAACAGATGGGCATATGTGGATATTCAACAGTGCAGGATGTCCAAGCCCCTAGTCTTGGCATTATATTCTGCTGTTGTTGGGCAGAGTGTTCTATGTCAGTTAGATTGTTATTGGTTGAGCATGTTGTTTAATTCCTCTCCTGTATACCTTTGCTAACTTTTTATCTACTGCTTCTATCAGTTACTAGGAGAGTCATGTTAAAATTTTCAACTATAATTACAGGTGTGTCTATTTTTCTAGTCAGTATTATTAGTTTCTCCTGTATGTATTTGGCAGCTCTTTTACTTGGTGCATAGAAGTTAAAATTGTTATATCATCTTGGTGAATTGACTCTTAAATTATTATGTAATGTCCCTCTTTGTCTCTGGTGATTTTCTTTGCCTGGACTTTGATATAATGTCGCCATGCCAGCTCGTATGTGATTAGTGTTTGCATGGTGTATGCTTCTCCATTCTTTCACTTTTATCCTACTTATAACATATTTGAAATGAGTTTCTTGTAGAGGTGGGTCATCTTTTTATTCTGCCAATCTCTTTTAATTGATGGATTTAAATCATTTATATTTAATGTAATTAGTGGTCTCTTAAGGCTTAAGTCTGCCATTTTGTTTTCTATTTTTTTTTCCCTTGGTTTTTTCATTCTTGTTTCTTCTTTCCTGTATTCCTGTGGATCACTTGAACATTTTTAAAAAGATTTCCATATTAATTTAGTGTGTTTTTAGTATACCTCTGTATTTTGTTTTAAGTGGTTGCTCTAAAGATTGCAATATGCATACATAGCTTATTGAAGTTTTCTAGTCTCAACATTTACCACCTCAAGTGGAATATAGATACCTTTTGACAGTTTAGGTCCCTTGACCCTCCCTACTTTATAATATAAATATCTTAACTATTATCTCTACATACATTGAGAACCACATCAGACAATATTATAATTTTGCTTTTAACTGTGAAAAACTTTTTATTTTTAAATTCAGGAGGAAAAGTATAGTTTATGTTTATCAATGTATTTACCCTTTCTGTTGCTCCTTCTCCATTCCCAGTGTTCCAAGTTTTCTACTATTGTCATTTCTTATATCTGAAGAACTTTCTTTAACCATTCTTTTAGAGCTGGTCTGCTAGCAAAAACTTCTTAGCTTTCCTTCATCTAATAATGCTCTCATTTCACCTTCATTTCTGAAGTACATTTTCACTAGACACAGAATTCTAAGTTGACAGTTTTTCATTCAGCATTTTTAAAGGTTGTGCTCCTTATTTCTGGCCTCTGTGGTTTCTAATGAGAAATCTGCTGTCACTTAAATTGTTGTTTCTCTGCCTGATTTCAAGAACTTTTCTTTGTTTTTAGTTTTCAGAGATTTGATTATGATATGTCTTGGCGTTCAATTCTATGTGTTTATTGGGTTCACTGAGCTTCTTGAATTTGCAGGTTTGTCTATTACTAAATTTGAGAAGTTTTCAGCCATTATTTCTTTAAATATTTTCTTCAACTCCACATGCATTTTTCTTCACTTCTGGAACTCTTGGATATTGATGGCACAAATGTTAGATCTTTAGTTATTCTAACATAGTTCCCTGTGTCTTGGGTATTGTTTTTTTTCCTTCAATTCATTTTCTGTGTGTTGTTCAGATTGGATACTTTAATGCTGATCTGTCTTCAGTTTTAATGATTCATCTGTTATTACCACTCTGCTATTGAGTTGCTCTTTTGAAGGTTTTTTTGTTGTTGTTGTTGTTATTGTATTTTTCAGTTCTAAAATTTCTCTTTGGTTCTTATGTATATTTTTTTTGTTAAGAATTTCTATTTTTAAATTTTTTGAGAGTGTTTGTATTTGTTTACCAAAATATATTTATAATAGTTTGCTTTAAAATCTTTATCCTGTAATTCCAACATCTGTGTATCTCAGTATTGGTGTCAATCTCATTAAAGATGAGATTCTTTGTTCTTGGTAAGGTGAGTAAGTTTGGACTACATGCTGGAAATGTGATGTATTATGACTCTAGACACTATGTTAAATCTTTCATTTTGGCAGATAATCAATCTAGAGTATGTTCAGAATTCTCATTTCTATGGATTGTGAATCAAATGTCACTTTAGGTTATGAAACCTCTGCAGTGCTCTTCTGGTCTCCCCCACTTCTGTGTTGCCCACGCCCACAGGACTCCACCTTCCGTTCTCATCAGTGCTGGGTAGCGAGAATGAGGGTGAGACAGTGAGGATGGGCAGGGTAGTCTCCTCCTTACTGTGCTGGGGATGGAAGTCAGAGCTCTACCCATATGGGCTCCGTAGGAAAAAGGCATCTCATTATTTCTGTAGGAGAAAGGTAGAAATCAGAGTTCATGGGGTCCCAGGGGACTGATGAACACCTAAATCTGCATGTATAACTAGTCAGGTGTACAGGAGGTTACTGGAGAGCAGATCCATGACACATTACATTTTCAAAGGATTCTATGACAAAGAAAAAATTCAGCTCCACTATTATAAACTTTTATTCCTTCGTTCCTTAGGTTTCTTTTTTCTCTTTTGAGAGAGGACTCTCGGTAAGCCCTACCCCTGCCTCTTGTCTGCTGGGTGTGTAGCTTCAGTCATAGATCAAATAGAAGGGCTCCATTTTCTCCAGGTGTTTGTGGCCTCTTCTTCATAATTTCTATGCACTTATGCTCCCCTATACCCCCTTATAGCCCTGGACTCCATCACCGCCATCAGAGCAAATACAATGGGTTCAGTCTCATCCCACCACCCTGCTCCCGCATTAAAATTTGAGCCTGAACTCAATCCTTCCACTGTGGTTTTGGTCCAGACTCTTCCATCACTCTTTGTTCATCTTTAGCACAGTATACCTTGTCTTGCTTATACTTGTCTTGCTTGCTGGAAAGGGCAGAACCAAGATTCCATCTCAAGCTGGTCCTCTCCTGAATATACAGGTCAGGAGGACTTTGACTGGCAACCATTCGCTGTCATCCGACCCACCTCGCACATACCGGCACTCTGTGCATACTCATGACACACCCACACGCTCTTCCATTCTCCACACCCTGCCCTGCGCTCATGCTCACTCCCACTAAACTCCAAAGTCCTGGTGCCACCTCAGGTCCATGTTCTTGTCCTTGAATCTTACACAACGCCTGGAAAATTCCCTCTACCACTCGATAATTTTGTCACCTTGGCTATATCATTTCAGCGGGGACACATTTTCCTTCTCTGAAAGACAAGGAAAATCATTACTACCGTAGGGTACTTGTGAGATAAAATAAAATAAAACGTGAGCCCTGGCCGGTTTGGCTTAGTGGTTGGAGCGTCTGCCCGCGGACCAATGAGTCGCAGGTTCGATTCCAATCAAGGGCATGTACCTTGGTTGTGGTTCATCCAGGGCCCTGGTCGGGTCATGTGACATGGAGGCAACCAGTCGATGTGGCTCTATCATGTCGATGTTTCTTTCTGTCGCTCTCTCTCTCCCTCCCTCCCACTCTATCTAATGATACATAGAAAAATATCCTCAGACGAGGAATTAAAAAAAAAGGATAAAACGTGAAAGGTGCTTAACGTGGTACCCAGTGAAGGTAGCCGTCTGTGCCAGCAGTGCCTTCCTCCTGCACATCCCTGTGCTCGGCTCCTCTGTCGCCACGAGCGCACACCCCCATCTTTCTGCACACAGAGCTCATTCATTCCACAGAGACTCGGGTGGCTGTGCGCCAGGTACCAGGAAACAAAGTGCCTTTCACATTGCTGCTCTCATTCTTCCTTACAGAACCCTCGGAGGGAGGAATCACTTTCTCCCTTTTATGGCTGGGGTGCTGAGGCTCAAAAATGTGAGACAGTTTTCTCAAGAGCCCACAGCTGGTGAACCGTAGAGCTAAGATTCACACACAGCTCCAGAGGAGAGTGCTTTTCTCCACCTCTGGCCCCAGCCCTATCATGAATTTCCTGTCTTCCCACACATGTTGAGAAAGGGGACGTTCTCTTTCGTGTATACAGGTGTGATTTAGTAAGAAGTCCGTGCTTGCTACACCAGACTTGACTTACATGACAGATCTCAGCTGTCTTGGTGAGTCACGTGTGCTGAATTCTCTCCCTTTACTAGCCTCTAAGATGTGTGAGGTTAGAGACTTGTTTACTTTATGGTAGTTATATCTTCATAACTCATTGTCAGGACAATGGTAGAGGCTCACTCAGTTCTTATAGGTTCACAAATGAATGAATGTTTTACAAGGTATGTCCACGTCCTGTAGTGAATTAAAGCCAGGTCTAGCGAAGAGGAGGAGGAGAAGAATCAGGGAAACATCCCTGTCAGATCAAAGTGAGCACACACCATACCCTCAAGACAAGACTCCAGCTACACACACTTCCTTCTTCCCTGGACACATCGAGATGTGCATATTCAACTGTGACTATTTATTTTTCAGTATGTGAAGAAATATGGGAACCTTTTCAGTATGGAGTTTAGTGCCTGGCCTACAGTTATTGTGACTGGATTGCCCTTAATCAAGGAAGTCCTTGTCCACCAGGGCCACCACGCTGCGGACCGCCCCTTAGCCCCTATTCGAGAACGGACCTTTAAGAGAAATGGTGAGTGTACTGACCAATGTCAGATGGGTATGTTTAACGTTTTTAAGGTTTGTCAATGGTGCCTCTGTGACTGTGCTTCTCCGATGCTCCCCAGAGACCAAGCCCACTATAAAATTCCTGCCTTTAAGGAAGTCTGATGCTCGCATATCCTATGAAGGCACCCTCTCCGAGGGTTAGGCGGGGTCAGCCCTAATGATGACGATTTGGAAAAGATGCATCTCCTGGGTGAACTCAGTCTGGTGCTTTGATAGACAAGTAACCCGTCATTCCAAGAAAGCAGAGAGAGAAAGGCAATGCGTTCACTCTCTCTGGTTTCCCATTGCAAGTCTGTTCCCCTAGGAAAGAGGATGTGGCCCTGCTTCCTTCCGCTGCTTTGTGACTCCGTCTTCTTGCCTCTGGTTCCTTATGCTTTCTCGCTAAGGTGCTCCACAGGGCATCTCAAGCCGTCCAGTCTAGGTTAGAACAGTTTGGCATGAACGGTTTAAATGATCATTAAATAAACGTAAACATTTAAAAAGCTAAATGAAAAACACACATCTATTGCTCTACCAAAGCACTATTTTCCCCCAGGGGCTTCCCAATTCCTCTTTGAAATATTTTACTGACTAACTCTACCTCCATTTACTCTGTGTATTACCTGCAGTGGGAAGCACAGTGCTAGGCACCAGTGATACAACAATGAATAGAACAGATAAGATCTGTGTCCTTGTGTGAGTCAAATTCTATTCAGAGAGAAACACTATCAACTAACCGTAATAATTGAAAGCCTTTATATAGATAAGGGCAGGATGCACTTACTAGGGGTAGCTAATCTAGTCCTGGAATTCAGGAAAAACTAACGTAAGTAAATGACAATTAACTATAAAGTGAAGAAGCAATCAGTCAGAGAGACTAGAATATCAAAAGTCCCCGAGGTGAGAAGGACAGTGAACTTGAAGAAATGAAAAAGTGGCCAAAGTAGCAGGTTTGCACAGAGATTAAATGGAGTAATTAAATGGAGATGAAGCTGCTGAGCTTGGCCTGGAATAGTTCATGCAAGATCTCAATAAGGATGTTGGTTTTTGTCCTAATAACAGGGAAGCTCTCAAATGGTTTTCAGTAGAGAAAGGGATCGTCATATTTACATTGTACATTTTAAAAACATATTTGGACTGCAATGTAGAGAATAGAATAAAGGAAGCAAGAGACCGATGTGGCATTTTAGGTTGGAGAAGGTGGTCGCTTGGACTAGGGAGGTGGCAAGAAAGGACAGTACATACAGGAGGTTGAACTGGGACAGCGGCAGAGAAGGTACATGGATTGAAGATGTCCAGGAGGCAAATCCAGTCAGACATGCTGACCTAGAGTGCAGGGAGACTGGGTGTGGAAGTGGACACCCAATGGGTGGACTGGTGGAAAGAAGGAACATTTGGAGGACAAGGTGTTTGGTTTGGCCTCGGTGGGGAGTTTTATGGAGAAAAACATACATTCAATCACGGCTATACTGAATCTGAAACGCCTTTCAGTTGGCAAACTCAAGCACACAGCTGTATATCTGTTTGGAGCTCGGGGACAGAAATAGAAATTCACTATCACTGGATGTTGTTTAAAATTTTAGGTGTTGTGAGACTTCCCAGAAATGGAGTGGAGGGTAAGAGAAGACCTTATCTTAAAGAACTTAATCATTTCAGAATTTGGCAGAAGAAGATGAACTAACCAGAGATAGGGAAGTTCTCTGTTTCAGAGAATTAAAAAAGCAATCTGGAGCCCTGGCCAGTTTGGTTCAGCGGTTAGAGCGTCGGCCTGCGGTCCAGAGAGACCCGGGTTCGGTTCCCGCTAAGGGCACGTACCTCGGTTGCAGTTTGTCCCCGGCCCTGGTTGGGTCGTGCGGGTGGCAGCCACTCGATGTGTCCCTTTCACATCCATGTTTCTCTCTCTCTCCTTCTCCCTCCCACTCTATCTGAACAAAAAATGGAAAAATGTCCTCGGGTGAGGATAAAAAAAAGAGCAATGTGGGAGCGCAGTGTCCTGAGCACCCCAAAAGAGAGTGCTTCGAGAAGGGAGTGTCTCGTGCTGTTCAAAGACCAAGTAAGATGAGGCTGAAAACTGTCCCTGGATGTGACAGAGCAAGGAAGGCCATTTCACTGAGATGGTGGAGGCCCAAGCCAGGCATTAAAAGGACACAAAGAGAGCTCCGGAAGTGATGAAATGACAGGAGCGGGGCCTTACCTGTGTTACAGAAGAAACGATGGTCTGCTGGACACACCAAGATGTTGTCTTTCCTTCGCCTGCAAGGCACATTCAGTCCTATGCTTTCTTCATTCATTTCCTTGTTTATTCAGGTCCAGCTTTGATAGGCCCTCTCCTATAAGTCTCATTAAAGCCTTGCTTCTCTACAGGTATGGGTTTTCCTCCCTGGAGTCCATTCTTAGTATGTAGCATAACATAAATGCATACATATACCTCTGTGACTAGTAATCAGAGCCTGGGCTTTGCAGCCAGGGAATGTGAATGGGAAGCCTGTCCAGCTGCTTACTCTGTGTGTAACCTTGCAAACATTATTTTATCCCTTGTACCTCATTTTTCTCATCAGAAAATTGGGAAAGGGGTGATATTGTATCTACCTCATAGAGTTTCTGTAAGTACTAAATTACATAATGCATAAAAAATACTAATGTGTCTGGCATTGCGAACAATCAGTATACGCTAGCGACTGTGTGGATTGCGCTGGGATGGTTTCTCTGAATACGTTTCTCTGCCTAATGCCCCTTTCCTTTCCGCCATCTGATGCAAGTCCCTGTACCATTTGTTGGCTTTCTTTTCATTATGTTGGCTCTCCTTTGTTGAGGCTTGATCATGTCCAATGGCCAGGAATGGAAGGAGCAAAGAAGGTTCACCCTGACAACACTAAGGAACTTTGGCTTAGGGAAGAGGAGCTTGGAGGAGCGCATACAGGAGGAGGCCCACCACCTCATCCAGGCAATGGAAGAGGAGAAGGGTGAGTGTTTCCGAGGACAGTGCAGGGGACGGTGGCTCATTCATTCACTGAACAGGTACTTTAGTACTTACATGCCTGTCCCATGCCCAGCGCTGTGTTAGGCTCTGAGGATATAACTGGACAACTAACCATGGTTGTGCCCTCCTGGAACTCTAGAATTAAGCAGAAGAAGATGGGCATTAAAGACATTGCTGATTTTGCCCTGGCCGGTTTGGCTCAGCGGTTGGAGCGTTGGCCTGTGGTCCAGAGAGACCCGGGTTTGGTTCCCGCTAAGGGCATGTACCTCGGTTGCAGTTTGTCCCCGGCCCCGGTTGGGGTTGTGCAGGAGGCAGCCACTCAATGTGCCCCTTTCACGTTGATGTTTCTCTCTCTCTCTCTCTCTCTCTCTCTCTCTCTCTCTCTCTCTCTCTCCCCCTTCCCTCCCTCCTTCTCTATTTGAACAAAAATGGAAAAATGTCCTCGGGTTAGGATAAAAAAAAAAAGACATTACTGATTTAAAACTTTGGGCATCCCAGGCATTGAGTGAGTACTTGCTGTGTGGGACCCAGCGTAGGATGCTGTGGCCAGAGCCTCAGATGTGTTTCTACACGCCATGTGTCATGTATCATACCCACGGTGTGTCATATATTCAGTAGAAGACAGAGACAAACAATCTGAAGGACCCCCCTTTTCTTCCACCTCCAGGACAGCCATTTAACCCTCACCTCAAGATCAACAACGCAGTTTCCAATATTATCTGCTCCATCACCTTTGGGGAGCGCTTTGAGTACCAGGATGATCAGTTCCAAGAAATGCTGAAGTTGCTGGATGATGTCATACGTCTAGAGATGTCACTGTGGTGCCACGTAAGGGTTTCTCTTTTCACATCTTGGTTAAGGATATCGAGGCTGATGTCAGAAACAAATTTTTTTTTTAAGCTATAATATCTTTTAGAATTGACTTCAACACAAACTTATTTGAAGTCAATCAAATAGTGTTTTATAATATTTTAATTATTTACTGTATACAAAGAACATTTCTAATATTCATGTAAAGCAGTAAACTTTACATGACATACACCTGTGCATCTATATTTTATTTATTTATTTATTTATTTATTTATTTATTTATTTCCTCACCCAAGAACATTTTTCCATTTTTGTTCAGATAGAGTGGGAGGAAGAGAGAGAAAGAGAAACATCGACATGAAAGGGACACATCAACTGGTTGCCTCCCGTACAACCCCAACCAGGGCTGGGGACGAATCGCAAATAAGGTACGTGCCCTTGAGCAGAATCGAACCCACGACTCATTGGTCCGCGGGCCGATGCTCTAACCGCTGAGCCAAACCGGCCAGGGCTATGTCGTGTTATTTAAAAGGGACATGGTGTCATTACCTTTAAGTCCCCGCCTCCATGGGCCTCCCTGTCCCAGCCATCTAGACCGCCTCGCTCAGAACTCCTCTGTGCTGGCTTCTCCACTGGCTGACTGGTCTGAGAGTCATTTGAGTTTGTTGCTCTTTTTAAAACTTCTGAGTAGTATTCCGCTTTATGACTATGCCACCATTTGTCACTCTCTTCTCTATGGATATACACTTAGGTCATTTTCAGGTTTTGCATATTATAAATAAAGCTGCCATGAACATTCTAGTCTGACTGTGCATGTGGACACATCCATTCATTTCTCTTGCATGTGTAAACCTGGACATGAAAGACGCCTAGAGGTTTCCAAAGCTGACATGCTATTTACACACCCATCAGCAGGATCCTGTCCATCTCCTAGCTTCATAGGTAAAGACATTTGGGATTCAGACCTCACCCCTTCCTTGGTGGACCCCGTACTCCGCTCTCGTCCCTGGGGGCCTGTGAGTCCGTCAGAAACTGTTCAGATGCTTGGTCTCTCAGCCACTTTTCTGGACTTGCAAGACACTTCTAGATCAAAATCAGCCCAAGTGTTCAGGGCACCTCTCTGGTACCGAGGAGTGGATTTATTTGTATTTATTCCTGACAAGCATCTTTGCCTAGAGCTCTATGGATGCATCACATCAAAATGGATAAAGAAGCTAGCATGAGTCCTCCCACAAGAAAAGGCCATAGCGAATGGGAGCTGCTGCTGTTATTCTTGTTGTCAAAGTTGTTTTTGAATTCCTTGTACCCACTGCCAGTCACGGTCGTCGCCAGTGCAGTGATTCCATGTTTGGTCTTCCTAGTAAGAGGGAGCCCGGGAAGGCATGAGAGTTCCGAGGGCACCCAGCTGACTTTCCCGGGGGGGGGGGAATCCCAGGGGGGGCAAGAAGGGGCAGCAGGTTAGGGGGAATCATCATTTCCTGGAGTCCCAAAAGAGACTACGCACTTTGATGGGCAACTGCACATGCTTTACCTGAGTCGATTTCCACAGCAACCCTTGAAAGATGAAACAGCATCAGCTGCATGCAGGCAGGTACGGCAGCGTGTGAGCAACTCCAGATCGGGCCACCCGTTCCGCGCTAAGTTCTTAATGGACCTCACGTCATTGGGTCACCAGAGTAGTCCCAGGTTCCCAAGTTACATCCTCCTCTTCCTCTTCATCATCATTATTATTATTGCCAAGGTATTATACTTACAAAGCAGCAGAGCTAATGGCCAAACCCATGTCATGTCTTAAGTCTAGATGATTTTCCATTATGTTATGCTCTTTTCTACCAGCTATTATTAGAGAAAATATATTAAAAAGCCACTTTATTTCAGTAAAAATGTCTTTCCCACATGGAGGCAGACAAACAAATACACACACACATACACACACACACACACACACACATATCTCACATACATACACACATACACAATAGTGATAACTGCCATGAAGAAAAATAAAACTTGTAGTATCATTAGGTGAGACTGCTCCAAATGCGTGACATTGGAGCAGCACTATAATGAAGTGAGGGGCTGGAGTTCTAGAGATTTCAGAGGAAGAGCCTTCTGGGTGGAAGGAAGAGCAAATGCAGAAGCCTACACAGGAACATCCTGATGTCATTGCAGACGTCAGTGGGGCTGGACTGGAGGAGGTGAGGTGGCAGGGAGTGTTGGCACAGCACGCGACAGGTGTGTGCAGGGACCCGCTCATGTAGGGCTTCTGTGCCCAGAGAATGATGGAGAGGTTTCTCTGCGTGTCATGGAAGTCACTGGAGAACTGCAAACCAAAACGTGAAAGGACCTGATTAAACCAGCAGCTTTCAAACGCTTTCCTCTCATGGCACACACAAACTAATTGCTAAAACCCTACGGCACACCCCAAAGTATATTTCCTGCCAATCTGACAGAAAAAAAAAAAGGTACAATTTTGATTCATTCACACTGGATGGCTATTGTGTTGGCTGTTTTTTGAATCTGACAGTCTAAAGGAAAAGAGGTCAGTGCCCCAGACTAAATAGTCAGGTATTGCATGTTTAAAAACGTCTTGTGGCACGCCTGTTCAAAACCACTGGATTTACCTGTGAAATGATTACCGTTTGTTCTGTGGGAAAGAGCCTGGGAATGGGGTTAAGTGTGGAATCAGAGAAACTGCTGGAGGCTGTGACAGCATGCAGGTAAGGAACGGTGGTTTGTACAAGGATGCCAAAGCAGGGGGTGGCGAGAAGTGGTCTGAGATGATATATTCTGGATGGAGCCCTGAAATGCTTTGCTGGGGGAATGAGAAAAGTGATGAGAGAAGTCAGAACAGTCAAGGTGTAAGTAGAAGCAAACAAGAGCTAGAAAGAGAATGTTTCTGTTGTCTTCAAAAGTGGGAAAAGGGCCCGGCCGGTGTGGCTCAGAGGATTGAGCGTCATCCCATGGACTGGGAGGTCCCGGGTGGATTCCTGGTCAGGGCATGTGGCTGGGTTGTGGGGTTGATCCCCAGTAGGGGGCGTGCAGGAGGCAGCCAGCCAGTCCATGTATCTCTCTCCCATTGATGTTTCTCTCTCTCTCTCTTCCTTTCTCTCTAAAAAATCAATACAAACTTTTTTTTTTTAAATGGGAAACTGACATCATGGTGTCTCCATGTTCTGTTTTTCTCGATTAGTTCTACAATACCTTTCCACGGATAATGGAATACATTCCTGGAACCCACCACACACTCTTCAAAAAATGGGAGAAACTGAAATCGTTCATTTCTCGTATGATCGAAAACCACAAGAGAGACTGGAATCCCGACGACACGAGGGATTTTATTGATGCGTACCTCCGGGAAATGCAAAAGGTGAGGGACATGGCTGTCTCTTGTGTTTGGTTTTTGAAGAATAAGTGGGGATCTACTGGTTTCCTGTTGATGCTGTGACAAATCAATGCAGTGGCTTACAATACAAACTTGTCCTCGTACGGTTCCGGAGGTCATAGGTCTGAATCCAGGCGGACTGGGCTCAAGTCCAGGTGCTGGCAAGGCTGGCTCCTTCGAAGGCTCTGGGGGAGAATCCGTTCCCTTGACCTTTCCAGCTTCTAGCCACAGGGGCGAGCAACGTCCCGCCGAAGGGCTGTGTAAGGCCCACGGAATCAATACCAGCAAACATCACACACCTCACCAGATTAGCCTGACCAAATACAGCAGGCTGATTTTTAAGTTGATGATTTTGTATAGCCTGCAAATGATGTTATAAATACCCAAATGGCTCTTGGCAGAAAAAAGGTTCCCCGCCCCTGTCTAGAGGATGCTTGTACTTCTTGGCTCCTGGCCCTTTCCTGCATCTTCAAAGCATCCTCTCTTACCATCCTCACATCTTCTCCATACAACACCCTTGTCTCTTGTGATTGCACAGGGCCCACTGGGATTCTCCAGGATCATCTTCCCACACCAAGACCTTTCACGTAATCATATCTGTAAAATGCCTTTTCCCATACAACATCCACAGGTTCCAGAGATTAGACATGGGTATCTTTGTGAGTCATTTTCAACTTACCACAGGGGAGTAAAAATAGAGGCAGGGTTTCATGGAGTGTAAGGACGGCACTAACTCAGGACGGATGAGGAAATCCGGAGGAAGGATACGGGTTCAGTGGCATTTGGCTCGAGGCCTTGGGAACGCCCAGACACCGCCTTTTCATCTATTCTCTACCCTCTACCCACACCCGAAGGAGCTGTGTGCAAAAGGAAAACGAGTTGAGCCCCAAACCTTTGGTTCATTATTAGTTCGAGCTGTGCCCACTACCCCGTAAGGGCCTCACTCACCGCACAGAACACAAGGAAAGCTGAGTCGAACGCCAGAGTTTGTCCTGGAGGCCTGAGGGGACCCCATGCTGCCCACTTTCCAACATTATAGGAAAGAAACAGGTGGGGGGACTAACCTGGATGTGAGCTTTTAACACAGCGGACCTGCTGATTCAGTACTTCACTGCATCGGGCCACAGTTTATTACTATCACCTCACCTGTCCCTCCTGCGGAAGTTAGCAGAATAGTGGATTTCTTTCCCCGCCCTCTTATTTCATCTCATTGGCAGTATACGAATAGAAGCATCAATTTCTGCTCGGAGTAGGAGACTTCAGTTGCTCCATGGGACCACACATTAAGAGGGATGGTGACATTGAAGTGTTCAGAGGAAGATGGTAAAGATGACGAAATGCTGTAAGGAATGAATGGTGGATTCAGAGTTCTCACCTGGAAGGAAAAGATTGACTGAGAGATATACAACTTGTTGTACATAGAGGACTTTAGTTTATTCTTTTTAGTCTCAGTATAAATATTTGTTGAATATTTGCTGTGTGCCCTTTGCCTCTCAGGGGACTCATAATGTCACCTTCAGGGATAAGTTTTGTTATGTCTATTTTTTAATATATATTTTTTCTTGATTGATTTTAGAGAGAGGAAAAGAGAGAGAGAGAGAAACATCGATGAGAGAGAACATCAATTGGCCGCCTCCTGCACAGACCCCACTGGGGATCAGGGCCACAATCTGAACATGTGCCCTAACTGGGAATCGAACTGGGGACCTCTTGGTACATGGGTCAACGCTCAACCACTGAGCCACACCGGCCAGGCAATTGTTATTTCGATTTTATGAGACAGGAAACTGAACTACAGAGAGGTTAAGTAAGGTGTCTTGTGTCATAGGAAGAGTAATAGCGTGGCTAATGTTAGAACTGAAGTCCAACTCTCCACTGTGCTAATAGTTTCTCTCAACTTACGGGCATAAAAAGTCAAGCCTACAACCCAGGTACATGCCCTTGACCAGGAACTGAACCTAAGACCCTTTGGTCTGTAGGTTGATGCTCTACCTGCTGAGCCAAACCAGGCAGGGCAGTTGTCTTGATTTTCATTACCCAAACAAATAAAAGTTGCCAGCACTTGGGGCAGGACTACGCTAATGATGCTGCTGGAATAAGACTCTGCCTCCCGAGGAGACCAAGGGGAGAGCCTCTTCCCCTGGGACTCTCCTCGTACGTTCTCCCTAGGATGAAGTCCCTGTGTATTGTGGCAACAAGAACCCTCTAAACAAACGAATAAACCTGGTGTTTTCTAGCATGATGGCAATGCTACTTCCAGTTTCCATGAGGAAAACCTCATCTTCAGTGCCTTAGATCTCTTCATTGCTGGAACCGAGACAACTTCGACGACGCTGCGCTGGGCTCTGCTTTACATGGCCCTCCACCCCGAAATCCAAGGTGAGCGTGTCTGTGGGTGTGCCTGCGCCAGGGCACATGGTGCCCCCTGGAACGCACTGCCCCAAGCTGGGAGCAGAGGATGGCGCGGTAGGGTGCAGAGGCAGGTAGGACCGTCACCAGGCAATGTGGATTTGAGAACGGGCACATCCTTCCGTTTTCCTGTCATCGTTGTGATGGATCCATGTGATACAAATATAACACCAGCCCCTGTTCTCAGGAAGCTCAAGTCTAGTGAGGATAACAGTGAAGTTAATTGACACTGTGGTGAGGTCCAGGAAAGAGTTACATTCTCACTTGACACCTGGTCTTAGGGGAGATCAGATGTCAGACAATACAAAAGGAAGGAAAAAATGGGGATGGGGGAGATAGGAAGGACATAAACTTGTTCCTAGTCCTTCCTCTTAACTTATGTCTTCCTTTGCCCTGTTCAAACTCACTTTGATGTATCATACCCCCTGATGCGCCTCTTACTTCCTGCCTAGCCTTAACTCCACCCACCCTGCATAGTGGCCTCATTAAATTACATGTCATTTTCTTTGCACAGTCATTATTTATGCTTCTGTGTCATCACACTTGCTCTCTCCTCTACGAGAATGTATTTCCCTAATTTCTCTACATGGTAAACCAATAGCTCTGCTTGAAGAATCTGCTAAACACTACCTCTCATAAGATGTTTCCCCATCCTCTAGAAAATGACTAGCATTCTCTTTCTCTGGAGACGACCAGCTGCACCTCCATTACTGTGCTCATCGCACGTGATTTATATGTTCCCCACAAGCTGTATCCCTTCAATGGCAGAGACAGTTCTGATCCATTTCCTTTCTCCAGGCAGGTCCCAGAACCGTTTGAGCACAGTTTATTAACGGGATATAAAATCATACGTATATATATTTATGTTTATGTATCCTAAGTCATGATGCAAAATGCCTTTGCAACTGTGAATTACATTATTTTTTAAAAGTGCAAAAACTTCATAGTTAGGATATAGACGTAGCCTCTATAATAGAGGCTCCAAAGTAATAATGGTTAAGATGATAGTTTACACCCATGTTCATAGCAGCATTATTCTCAATTGTCAAGAAGTGGATGTAACCCAAGTGCCCAGTGATGGATGAACAGATACACAAAATGTGGAGTCTAATGAGGTATCACTCAGCCTTAAAAAGGACAGACATTCTGACAAGTGCTAAAACATGGATAAACCTGGAGGACATTGTGCCAACTTAAATCATCCAGTCATAAAAAAGACAAATACTGTATAAATCCACTTATATGAGGTATCAAGAGCAAATTCACAGAAACAGGAAGTAGAATGGTACTTGCCAGAGGCTGGGCAATAGGGGAAATGGGGGTTTGTTGTTCAATGAACATAGAGTTTCAGTTTTGGATGTTAAAAAAGTTCTGAAGATTGGTTGCATAATAATGTAACTATACTTACCACTGTTAAACTATACACTTAAAAAAGGGTTAAAATGATCGATTTTATGTGTATTTTACCACTGTTAAAATGTTTTAAATGGACAGTAAGAAAAAAAAATAGACATTTATGTCATGTAAAAATTTGCATTGCACTCTGCAGAGCCCTTTGGGTTCCAAACTGGCTCCACTGTGTTGTTCTGATGTATCTAACATGTTCTTGGCATCCTCAAAGGTAGTTCCCCACTAAGGCTGCTTTCCCACTGACAAGAAGGGAAGAGGAAGGTAGCACACACCCTTCCTTTAAGGGCTAGTTCCAAGTAGTAAACGTTCCTCCTACACATTTTCTATTGGTCAGAACTTAGTCACATGGTCACACTTAGTCAAAAGGAAATCTGGGAAATGTAGTCTTTGGCTGAGTAACCAGGTATCCAGCTAAAATATCAATTATTGTAGAAAAAGGAAAAAACGGCCCTGGCTGGTTTGGCTCAGCAGTTAGAGCATTGGCCCATGGACCAGAGTCCCAGGTTCAGTTCCCACTAAGGGCACGTACCTCGGTCGCAGTTCGTCCCCGGCCCCTGTTGGAGTCGTGTGGGTGGCAGCCAGTCCATGTGTGTCTCTCACATTGATGTTTCTCTCTCTCTCTTCCTCCCTCACTCCCTCCTGCTCTATCTGAAGATAAATGCAAAAATGTCCTCGGGTGAGGATAAAAAAAAAAAGAAAAAAAACAGATCTTGGAGGACAATTAGCAATTTCTATTATTTGTTGGGTACTCCCCTAGACCAGTTCATATAAATTTCAAAATATCCTTAAGATGAAGGTAAATTTAGCCCCACTTAATAAGCGGGAACTGAGGCTCAGAGTTGCAGTAATTTGGCAGCACAAAATTACTGAATTGTCTCATATCAGGGCCCACTGTCCATACTTACTACCTCCTTCACAAACAAGAGTCTGTAGAGCCTCCTATAATTTCAGGCATTTCGATCCTAGTTATTCCATTCCTCAGTTTACCAAGGCTCGAGAAAAGGTATGGAATAACAGAACTTTCTTTTCTTTTCAAGAAAAAGTACAAGCTGAGATTGACAGAGTGATTGGCCAGTCGCGGCAGCTGAGCACGGCTGCTCGGGAGCTCATGCCCTACACCAACGCCGTCATCCACGAGGTGCAGAGAATGGGAAATATCATCCCCCTGAATGTGCCCAGGGTATTAACCGTTGATACTACTGTGGCTGGATACCAGCTGCCCAAGGTAATTAGGGACACCTGCTTCAGATCTTCAAGCTCATTGTTTCAAATGGTAGGAATCTGAATTTGAAACCTAACATAGATTCTTATTTTAGGGAATCACTTAAATAGGGAGAGAGAGATACCTGTTTCAAGACTCATTTTATTCCCTCTTGTGTGGCCTTTAGAACATTAGTTCAACTAGATACTAATATTGTGGATATTATGGAGCGAAGGGGGATTCCTACGTCAAATATGTCTAAGCAAAGACTGGCATTTCTTTGCTGTGGGATTTCTCAGTGTTTTTCTACGAAATATGTATTGTGGATCTTTGTGAAGATACAACCATTCTTAGTTAGACTTTGCCATGGAATCTTCTTTGCCTTGGTAGAGCACCTCACAGGACTGGGGACCTGCCAGACTTACTTTCAAAAATCCTGCTACATAATCCTGGGTTATAGAACATTAAAATATCAAGGGACAACTGAGACCACCTGGGCCAACATCATATTAATGCTGGTTTTTCTACTGTAATATCCCACAGGTGTTTTGTTTTGTTTTTTCGGCTTTTACTTGCAACCCTGTGATGGAACTGTTTCATAGGAGAAACCAATCCAAGTGTGTGCAGTATTAAGTATTAGCAAAGGAGAGAAAGAACACACACTTTTTAAGCAGTAACTGTGTGCCATGGACTACATAGGTTCTTTCATCAGAATAAGTCTGTTATTTCTATTGTATAAACCGGGGAATTGGTCTCATAGAGATTCAGCTTGTGTAAGATCTCTCAACTACAAAGGGATAAGAGTTGGGTTCAAGAACCAGATCTGTTCTGATTTCCAGGCTCATCGTTTTGTACTACATCATGGTCTCTACACAGGAGTTGTTTTACTTTGACCTTAACAGAGTCTTCTTGCAATTGCTCTCAGTTCGCCCCTGTTCAGTTCCCTGTCCTCACAAAGGAAATTCTGATCTCACTCTGCCCACCAGGTTTATAATCTCAGCAGACAGCTCCCCTGTGCCCCCTAGTGCCCTCTCTGCACACTGCACCTCTACAGCTCCCTTGCTTTCTCTCCACTTAGGTCAGCCTCTGTGGGTCCATTCCCCTTGTCTATGTCCCTCTGCATGTGTCGTACCTGGAGAAAAACTTAACAGGCAGAACCAGGGGGCATGTCCCATTGTACGCTCTTTGGTCATTGCCCCTGCAGAGTCAGGAAAAGCAGCTATACCTGCGTCTACTGCATTCACTATTTCTTGCTGACTGAGCATGTTGGTGAAGGCTGAGGTCTAAATTATTTCACAGGTGCTGCTTGCATTTTTTCTTATAGCAATTCATTTAAGCTCCAGGAAACCAGCCCAGCTCTACCCTGACGTTTAACATCCACTTTAATCACTGTCCTGGGAACCGAGAGATCTGAGTGACTGTGTGTAGAGGCTAGGAGCTCTGGCTCCGCCTCCGCCCATTATGCGACTCTGGGCACATTCTTTCACCCCTCCGAGCTCCCATTTGTTTAGCTGTAAAATGCGTTAAAACCTACCTCACAGGTCGGGGTAAAATGAGGTCATACCTGTTAAAGGTTAAATCTAGTGCTTAGTATAGAAAGTAGTTGAAATAGCAGTTATCCTTTATTAATTCAACAAATGTTCATTAAGCATCTAAAATGCTCAGGCCTGGGAAAACAACCCTGAGCAAAATAACCATGCAAGTACACACTTAGACTCCACGAGAACCGTCCTGTGAAAACACTGACGGGCTTCCGCACACACGAAGGCTGGCTGGGAAGGGGGCTGGAGCCAGCGTGTCAGCGGAGGCTTCCAAGGGATGTTGATGTTGAGGACAGCAGGATGCTCAAGAGTGAGCTCAGTGACAAAGTCAGGCGGACAGACATCCAGACCCTGTAAACAACATTTTAAAAGGCACGGAAATGAGTGGGGACACAGCTGTTTGAGAAGCTGCAAGGCCGATGTCACGGGAGTGCAGGCAGAGACAGTGGCCCACGCAGGGGTCAGGCACTGGCTGTGTCACCTCTGGGGGATGGGAAGCTATTGGAGGGTTTTATCAAGTTCAAGGCTAGATGGGTGTGACACGATTAAATCGCATTTGAAGCTCACTCGGCTTTCCGAGTGCAGAGCAGATGAAAGGGGGAAAGAGAGGATACAGGTAGCACGGTGATTGCCTTGGGCCAAGATGGCAACAGTGGACACGGAGTGGAGGTGACAGAATAAAGAGAAATGTAAAGTTGACCAGCCTCACTGAAGGGTAACATGAAGGCAGGGAGGGAAAGGGAGGCATTAAGGAGGACTCTTGGGTTTCTTGCTATGTACCTGCATGGTCAGTGGTTCCTTTTACTGGGCCACCTGATTCTATTATTAAACCTCGTGTGCAGTGTAGGAGACACTGGAGGGAAGAGAATGGGAGAAACAGGGATGAGTAAGGCACCTTTGACCTTGCTAGAGCTGCTCTAGTTATCACTTCACTGAGCAGCTGGGTTGGTTTGGTACAGTACTGACTGGCCAGGCTCAGATGTTATTCTCATTGACGCATGCGTGTCCGCTCTCAAGTCCTACACTGGCTTGTCCCTGCAGAGAACGTCCGTCCTGCACTCGAGAGAAGCCACACTCCCCTTGTCAACTCCCAGCAGGCATTTGCGGCCCATCACTGCGAACTGTCCCATAGCAAAGAGTGGGGGCCTGGGTGGGCTCAGAAGGCAGTGGGCTGGGGAGGGTGAGGATATGTTCTGGCCCTGGCTTGGAAGCAGGAGACTTCCACCCGTGTGCATAGGGGTTTCGCATGGGTCACGCCTTGCCTGAGTCTTTGCTGCTTTCTCTAGGGGACCATGATCGTGACCAATCTGACTGCGCTGCACAGGGACCCCAAAGAGTGGGCCACCCCTGACACATTCAATCCAGACCACTTTCTGGAGAATGGACAGTTTAAGAAGAGGGAAGCCTTTCTGCCTTTCTCAACAGGTGAGTTCTAAAAATAAGAGTGTGTGAACCCAGAGTCCCTCTCTCAGCCCGCCCCTGCTCCCCTCCCCATCACCCTTTGCTGTAGTTGGAATGTCTCCAGGTAGCCCTGCCCAGTGTGACCCCGTTACTGTTGCTGCACCCGGGACCCCCAGGGCTGGCGTGGCTCCAGGCTGCCCTGACCTCCTCAGCCCTTGCTAGGCAGTCCCGGCACCCTGCGGATTTCAGCTTCACTTTGTTCTGACCCAGCCTCTTGCTCACAAAAAAGGTTGGACACTTGCCATCTTTACAGCATGTTTAAATGTGTCAAGTTCTTTTTAGGGGCCACCCACTCACACAGAACAAGAGCCAATTTATAACAAGGGGATGGGGAGGGGCAAGGAAAGGGGCTACCTCTTATCTGGTGGGCATCAGGAAGGACTCAATGCCATGGCTTGACCAGATGGTACCCCCCACTGAGGCCTTTTCAAATTTTAATTATCCCGTAAAAAGCTAGTTAATACATTTACATGGTAGACAACTCAAATGGTGCGAAAGAGGGCACTATGAAAGCTCCTGTGTTTCCAGGCAGCCAGTTCCAAGGGCTGTTTTAACTCATAACATTGTGAAATGAACAACAGAAATTCTTAGTGTATTTCTTCATGTTGAGTTAGGTATGTTTCCTGGGCTATTTTAAATAAGTTCCCCATTCCTTAGTTCTAGAAATATTTCCTGAGCCAAGCGGTTGGGCCTGAGGACGGGACAATGAGGGTGCAGAAGAGACAGCTGTCCTCGGGCAGCATGTGCCCCGGCGTCACCCACCAGGTTCCCACCACTCACTGCTTCAGAGAATGAAACCGAGGCTTAGAGGGGTTAGCTATGGCATCATTTACATGTCATTGTCTTTTTTATACCTTTCTTTTTCACAATTTTTTTTTTTTGCATTGAATATGTGCTACTTAGGGAGAAAAAAAATGATTGCACACACAAGAGAGATGGTGGTGGTGAATAGCGTGGGGTGTTGTAGGCCACGTAGGGTGAGAAGGGTGTTCATTTGCGAAGGGGAGGGCACAGCGGAAGCTGAGAGCAAGGTCAGAACACGGGCAAGACGAGGTGGGGTCTGGACAGGTGGCTACGGCAGTGATGGAAGACACGCTCCACACACGGGACACTGAGCCAGTAAGTACACGTAGTGAGGATAGTGGGAGGAAGTTACCCACAGGGAAGGGATGATAACAGAATAAACTCTGTGGTGTTGGGTTAAAATCAGAGGTTAGCCATATGAACTCAGATTTTGATAGACAGGTAGGTAGATATAGAAGGAAATATAGATGTAAATGTAGATGTATATATACATTGAAATATATACTCACATCATGTATGTATATGTAGAGTCTCCAGCTCTACCCACGGAAATGCCTGGGAGCATCACCACCTCGATACCAGTGAGCCAGCCTGGTGCCCAGATCTCGGTTTCCACATACCATTATCCACTGAAAGGAACAAGGACGTCTGGGGAAAACGGCTGATTCCAGGCTGGGGGTGGGGGGTGGGGAGAAGGGAAAGCATGAGATCAGCCTGGAGCATATTTTTGTGCCCCGAAGTAAGAACATACCAACTTGAATGCTCATTTACTAGCCAAATCTGGAGTATCAGGAGATCGAAACATTAATAACTAATATAAATAAATGAGTGCATAAATAAACTAGGGAGGAGAGAAGCCATTTCCTTTAGTAGAATGCTAACTAACAATGTGGAGGAATGATGGAATTTGAAACTCCCCACAGGCAACCATTAGAGCGATCAATAGTTTGGCCAAGAAATAGCAACAGAAACCAGTTCAGTGAGGGATGGTTCATTAACATATAGTCTCAAAGTAGTATTTATTAGTTGCAAAGAGAAAAATAATAACTTTACAGTGGACAGTTGGAAGACATCACCAATAATGGGACAAATCAAAATCGTGTCCCACCTGACAGGGTGAAATGAGAAGAACACAGCTTCACTTGGGTGGTCTGCTCACCAGAAATGCAGGACCTCACACCCTGAGTCTAATCAAGAGGGGACATGAGAGTCATTTACCAAATAATGGGTCTGTCATCTTCATAGTGCCAAAGTCAGGAGGGTTTAGTAACTCCTGATACTAAACTGGGTCCCTTTACTAAATAAAGGACATTATTGGGAGAATGGCAGAACCTGATTAGGGTCTGAGGAGAAGATGGTGGTAATTTTCTGATTTGGGGTTCTGTTGGATAATGTCCTGATTTGAGGGAATTCATACTGAAGACTTCATGAGTAATGAAGGCAATTTACTCTCAAAAACCTCAGAAAAAAGTTTTATTTTTTTGGTTTTGTGTGGGTGTGTATTATTCTCACAAGTTTTCCATATATTTGAAATTACTTCAGAATAAAAGTCACACTGTGAAAAGTATCACAGTAAAGAACTGTGATACATAGAAAGCTATTTTGGTAATGCTACCACCCACAAGATTTATTTAAAGGTAGTCTTTTATTTTTATTTATTTATTTATTTATTTTTATCCTCACCCGAGGACATTTTTCCATTTTTTGTTCAGGTAGAGTGGGAGGGAGAGAGAGGAAGAGAGAGAGAGAGAGAAACATCGATGTGAAAGGGACACATCGAGTGGCTGCCACCCGCACAACCGACCAGGGCCGGGGACAAACTGCAACCGAGGTACGCGCCCTTAGCGGAACCGAACCCGGGTCTCTCAGGACTGCAGGCCAACGGTCCAACCGCTGAGCCAAACCGGCCAGGGCCAAAGGTAGTCTTTTAAATTGCGGTTTTTGTTTTTTTTTTTTTTGGATTTTTAAAATATAAGTAACCAGATGAAGTCACAGATAAGCTATTTCATTGCTGGAACGTGTGTTACCATGGGGGAGCGGTACTACAATGCTTTGCTTTGCTCCCTACAGTATTAAATTATTTGGCTTCAGTGTGTTGCTCACACAATATATAAAATAAAGTTCCCATGTTAAACACACATTTCCACTAATGCCTAGAGAAGTTACTTAATTTGCCCCAAATCACAGGTCTGGAAAGTGGGAGCAGTTGAAGTGGATCTCGGTCCTTCCGCCTTCAGCTCTGCACTCACGTAACAGGGGCGGGGATGTCGCCCAGACGGGGCCACGTGTGAGCCGCGGAGGAAAGGGTCCAGCCTGGGCCCATGTTACAAGCAAAGGCACTTTGGGGGGAAGGACCGTCCACGGAGGGGAGCTGAAGCGGTCCCAGTGGAGAGGGCCACCCATGTCAGTGAGGGTCCCGATCGTTGAGGAGGAAATCGTGACCTAGAGGAAAGAGGCCTTGCACTCCTCTGACATGTCCTGGCTTATACTTTTGGATAGTATTCCTGTTGATTGATTTTTTTACAGCGTGTAGTCTAGACATCCACTTTCTAGGGCAACCCAAGCCTCCCACTCCTCTCATCACCTACACCCGGTGCCTTCACCTGCCTGACTCCTACAAGCCGTGGAGTGCGTCCAGACATATGTTATCTGTGTTTTGCTTACACCCAGACTAAATGAGCCTCTGTACAGAAAGCCCCAGGGCCTAGCAGGCCCTTCCTCTGTTCAAGTTGTACAAGATGTGGTAGAAGATTTCAGTCCCTGCTGGGCACCAGCACCAGCTGGGAAGATAACTCGTCTTCTGTTCTTGTCTTCCAGGGAAGCGGGTGTGCCTGGGAGAACAGCTGGCCAAGTCTGAGCTGTTTATTTTCTTCACCTCCCTGTTGCAAAAATTCACCTTTAAGCCCCCAGACAATGAGGAGCTGAGCCTGGAATTCAGAATGGGCATCACCATCTCCCCCGTGCAACACCGCATCTGTGCAGTTCCTCGGGCGTGAGGGTGTGGGGAAGGAGGGGGGAGCAGGAAACGGGCATGTCTCCTGAAGGCACGGAGCCCTCAGGTGAGGGACCGGAGAGGAAGTGGCTCTGCGGGAGGAGTGTGGGGTTAGACGCCCAGGAAACCGGATTCGAATCCAGTTGTATCTCCTCCAGTGTAGCCTTGAGCAAATCATGTCTCTCTAGAAAACACTCCCAAAGATATTCTTAGAATAAAACCAATCATATCAGGCCTTGAATTTCCTAAACGTCTGGGATCTTGTCTTTCATTTATTTTTTTTATTTTTCCCAATCAGATCATGGTTAGGAGACTAAGAAACTGGCCAAAATATTTTACATATTATTTTCAGTCTCCTCATCTGTTAAATGAAGGACTTTGTTGAAAAGGCATCTCCGAGCTCCACTGCTGTCCATGTGTCCTGGTTCCAGATGGGCAGCGTCCGCACACTCCTTGGGGAATAAAGTAAAGCGCCAGGCACTCATCCTGACCTAACAGACGGACTGGGACCCGAGGCCAAGAGAGTACGACCACGATTAACGTGAAACCTTGGTGAATAGATGACTGAGAGTAACTGACATTTCTGGCAATGAAAAACGACTCCTTTTTCCCCCTCAAAGCTCCTTAGAGAGATTCTAACATGAGGTCTCGTCCTGCCCAAGCATCATACAAAGATTTTGTTATCTGACTTTTGTAACTTACTGCTCATCTAGTTTGAAAGCTCTAGGGCCCCTTACCCTCTTCCTTTGCATCAGTGTCTGATGCAAAATGTGCAAGCATATGACATTTTTTGTGGCATCCTGGCCAAGGCACAGACTTTACTGGAAAGCAATCCAGGCTGTGAATCTTTTCTCCACCGCTGTCCTGCAAAGAGATACAGATATACACGCACACTGCACTGTAGATTAAAACTGGGTCCAGAGACAGAGGATTTATAGCAGAAAAGGGGCAGGATGCACAGGATAACCTAAGTTCATATGGAAATGTGCCCAGGTCAGGCATAGCTGGCCTGCACGCAGTAGGGAGAGGGTCCGGCAAAGGGACCCTCACAGTGCCCTACATGTTCACAGAATGGAGGCAGGGGCTGGCTAGGTGACAAGGTAAGTAATCAGGACGGCTTCCTGGGTGAGGAAGCTGTCGCAGTAGAGAACTCCGAGCTCTGACTCTTGTCAGCAGGTTGTCCTTGGTGCCAATTCAACGCCAACAGGAATTCACAATTGAGGTGTGGTGAAGGAAATGTATTCAGTGCAAAACGGCTCAACGGTGATACAGCGAGGCTGTGAAAACAGCAGGGCTGCAAGGCAGTCCTGGGTCCAGTGGGCACTGTGGCCATGCCCCTCTCCAGCTCCGCTCTGCTCCGCTCTGCTCTGCGCCAGTCTGCCTGTCTCCGCTCCAGTGAGATGTCTTCAGGGTTTCTGCTCTAGCCAAGGGAACGGTCTTCAGTGTTTGGTAGAAAGGGAAAGTGTACTACCTGGGGGAGGGGCGTGGCTCATATAGACAGAAGTCCCCACCCCTGCTCCCTGATTGGGCCATTCTCATGCAAATGAGGATTCCAAATCTTTGCAGTTTGATTGGTCCAAAAGGCACAGCCTTTTTGGCCAGAATGGAGCTGCTGTGATTGATTGATAAAAATGTTGACTGGGATATAGCTGTGCCACTTTAATTGGATGGGGACGCCTCAGTCCTAGCGGTTGAACCGGGTCCAGGAACTCCGCAAGGACGGGCTCCGATGGCCCCGACAGTGAAGCAGGCCAGTTCAGCGCAGGGGGCGGGCAGCTTGGTGCAGGCTTCTTTCCGAAGCGCCGTTTGCATGAGAAGCCCCTATGTGGAATGACTTCTAGGCTCTGTTTTTGTTTATTTGTTCAGGTTTTTTTAAAAAATACTTTTTAAATTGATTTTTAAAGCGAGACGAAGGGAGAGAGAGAGAAACATTAATGTGAGAGCAAAACATAGATCAGCTGCCTCCGGCATACCCCCTCCCAGGAACCAAGCCCATACACAGGCCTGTGCCCTGGCGGGGAACCCAGCTGGCAACCTTTCGGTGCACGGGACGATGCCCAACCAATTAAGCCCCACTGGCCTGGGCATGTTTATTTGTTTTTTAATTTAAGCCCAGTTAAGACACCAGGAGCCCTTCTTAGTAGGTATCTTCATTCTCAGGGTCCACACTCTGGTGTCAAGGGTCCACACTCCGTTCTCCCTCCTAAGCTAACTCCAGCCTACTGAGCCAGCCTGTTGCTAAGCGACCAAGGGGGAAGGGGGAGGGAATGAGGGGGTGAAGACATTCCAGGGACTTTGAGTTCCTTCTCTTCTCAACCCTTTACTGTGACTTTGACATGTAACCTGGCAAGCCTCTGTGTTCTTCCTCTAAAACATGGGTATGAAGGTACACACTTCACCCTGGTGGCGAGAATACATTTACAAACAGCATGGGACTCAATAGGACGCAACAAAAATGTAGCTTTATTCCCCCACCCCCCACCCCCACATTCCGCACACTATTCCTTCCTCCCTCTGAATGGAATGTCCACAGGGTTCATCACCTTTCTGTTACTCTTAGATAACGAACATTCTGCTTATCACATTCATTTCCTAGCTGATTTAGCTTCCCACTCAACCCAGGTTTAGACTGGAAGGTTTCCAGGTGAGGTAGGTAGCGGTGCAGCCAATTCTTCTCTGGGCACCACATGCTTACTCCCTCAAAGACACAGCCTGACCTCGTCTCAGTCCACCCCCATTCCACCAGCACCCTCCATGTGCAGTGCCCTGGATGTAGACAGTGCTTGGCCTTCAGCTAACGTCCATCTCCCGCCCTTGGGCATCCTCCAGTTTGGCTCCTCCTTAGGTTCTATCATTCCTCCCAGCAGTCCTCTTGCTGGGATCCAGGAAGGCCCCAAGCTTGCTATGCCACAGGGTCCTCATTAAGTTCTACACCTTTGTCCCATTATGAGTGTCAGGCAAGTCCCTCCTAAAGAGCCCCCTCTCCTCAGCCACCACAGGCAGCCTCACCCAATCCCTTGCCTATCGGAAGTTTCCAGCCTCCATGTGGCACCGGGTCTTGGTACTCCAAGGACTACAGAGCACAGGGAATCTCTTGGCTGGAAGCCTCTCAGTGGGTGAGGGGACTCTGCTCTTCCCCTCCTTAGTGGGAGACAGTTTGGACGAATGGCAGCATCCTCCAGTATCAGCACTAAATCAATGTTTTCTTACTTTGTAAAATGACATTGCTTCCCTCAGCATCCACATGCTCTCATGGTGTTCTTCCTACGCATAGAACTAAACCTTATCAATTGCTTTATCTGCTGGGAAAGAGTAGATGGAGTTGTGCTTTGGAACCAAGTGTCACACAAACAGTATTTTCAAGTCAATTCAACAATTATTTATTGAGCACATGCCATAAGCCAGATACACAGTGCCCAGCAAGGAGAGGTACAGGGCTGTCCCTTCTTAGAGCTCACAGTCTAGTGCTGGCAGCAGTGGGCAGTGAGGGCTACAAACAAATACATTTGCGTAGTGTTTCCCACTGAGTACTGGGCACTAAAGAGACATTTTCTCAAACATATGCAGTCCTGTAACATCGCTCATCGCTGCGTAACACTCTTCAGGGGGAGGCATAGTGTTGATCAAGTCCCCAGGTTGACTCCCTCCTCCAACTCACCTCTTGAAAGCCTGCACAATCCATGGTGCCCTAGATTCTCTCTGTTTAATTAATTAATTTATGTCACAGAATGTCTTTATTTTGCCTTCATTTTTTGAAGAAGAATTTTACCAGATACAGAATTCTAGGTTGATGTTGTCTTCCTTCTTCTCTCTTCCTTCTTCCTTTCCTCTTTCCTCCTCCTTCTTTTAACACTTGGAAGATGTCATTGTTTTCTGGCTTACCTTGTTTCTGATGAAAGGTCCACTATATTTACATCTTTGTTTTCTTATTTATTTTGAGTCTTTTATCCTCTGGCTGTTTTTTAATTTTTTTTTTTTTGGTCATTAATCTTTAACACTTGGTTATAATGTGCCTTGGTATATTTTTCTTTGTTTATTTTGATTGGGGTTTATTGAGCTTCTTGCATCTGTGAATTTACCATTTCTAGAAAATTGGAGAACATTTTGGTCATTGTTTCCTCAAACAATGAGTTTGTTTATATGAACTCACTCCTTACCCCCACACTTCTAGGATTTCAGTGACACATGTTAGACCCCTTGATATTCACCTACTGGATTGCTGAGATTCTGTTGATTTTATTTAGCCTTTTTTTCTCTCTGTGCTTCCGTTTGTATACTTTCTATTGCCCTGTCTTCAAGTTCCTTTATTTTTTTTCTTCCCTCTGAAGTGTCTAATCTGCCATTAAGCAGCAGATTAGAAGTACCAACTGGCTCTTATTTTTAGAGTTATACTTCTCAAATATTTTTCATGTGTTCCTTTAAATAATTGAATATACTTATAATATCCATTTAAAGATTTTTGTCTGATAATTTCATCTTTTCTGATGTTTTTGTATCTAGTTCCATGAATTTATTTTTCTCTTGGTATGGGTCACATATTCCCACTTCTTCAGATGTCTAGTAATCATGGATTGACTATGACTTTTTTTTTAGTGTTTGAAATATGTTGTCTTCCTTTCAATAGGATTGAGCTTTGTTTTAACAGGCAGTTGATTTACCCGTTGAATACCTTGATCCTTTTGAGGCTACTTTGAACGCTTTGTGTCTAGTGTAGGTTTCATTCCAAGGCTTCTAAAGAGTAACATTTCTGGGGTCTCTAGTGGTAACTTCAGTTGTCCCACATGGTTTGTCCACTGTTTGGATTAAATAATTCCAGGCACGTCAAAAAGTATTCAGCTGATAGGTCCCTGGTAGTTGTTTTATCCCCAAAAGAGGTTCTTTGCCCAGCTTCATGGAGTTTCACCCTACAAAAGCTTAGTTTAGTTTTTGGCTCATCTCTCTGAATATCTGAGGAACTCTTTATTGGCATAGCGTCTTCCTGTCTGGTTTTTGCCCTACAAATTCCAACCATGTCAGTCACCCCAAATTCCAATCTATCCTTTCTCCTCTTAGCAAGGTGAGACTACTGTGTTCTGATTTTTTCCCCCTTCCTATATTGGGGTCAAGAAATGTCCCAGGTAGAAAGCCAGAGATGTTCTAGAGCTCATCTCATTTGTTCCTTTCCTTTGGGAATCACAGTTCTGAAGTGTCAGTTTTCCAATATCTGAAAACTTAGTTTTATTTACTTTGC